ACCATGTGGCATTGACAGTGAGTATTCACAATTTATAGTAATAGTCAAATGACTAGTCGAACACATATTTGTAAAAACCTTGTTTAGGGGCCAGATATTGATTTTGTATTGGGTAGAATAGAAAAAAGTGGTACATTGTTTAACGTTAGTTCAAATGACATCAGATTTGGACATATGAGACATAATTATTTAAGATTATCATGTTAGTTATAGAGATATACCACAACGAGATATAATACAACAAAATTCCAAACGTAATAGTTGATGTTATAGTATTCTATACTGATTTATAATGAAAAACATTTAAGTTGTAGCAATAAATTAATTTGCTAAAGTAGTTTAATATTTAAAAAATATTTTGTCTATCTTTTACTATTTCCTTTATATTTAGTTATGAGTGAACATGATTCACAACAGTTTTTACATATTTCATAGCCCCTCGTTAATTTTTCACTTATCCTGCGTTCATTATTAAAAACTCGATTGACCAGGTTATTTAAAATGTCGAATAAGAGTTTTCAAGTACAACCCATTAATGTCATTACATATACACTCCACAATTTCTTTTTGCTCTTTCCATTTTTGTCACGTTTTGTGCGCAAAATACATTATTATACAGTGCTATTTAGTTTATCCTTTTGGTTCGAATGACTTCAACATTTATCCATTTATAATATACCAACTTGGTGAGCTGATATTTAGTTAAAATGGTTGAACTTTTATCAAGCAAATAATGATTTAACAATTAATAATTTATTTGGATACGCTAAACAAACACCCATAATGTATAAAGGCTTCCAGCAAAATGATCATAATCCTATCAGAAAACATGGTGAAGAGCTGGGAGGCATCTCATTTTGCTGAGAAATCTTTACTCTACAAGGCTGATTGCTTGAAAAGTTTATCAAGTACTGAATGGAAGAGAAAAAAGTTTTGAAAGTAAAACAATATGTTTTTTTAAAAATATGGTTTATAATATATTGTTCAGTATGAAACAATATATTATCCATAAACAATCGACAAGTTGACTAAAGATTTCAGAACTATATCATCAATAAATACAAGAAAGAAAAGGGACCTCAATATTGATCCTTGAGGCATTGCTCGATTCAGTCTTCGAGAACAAAGAATTTTGTGAAACTCCTTCACTGGAAAAGGAGTTGAAGTTTTATACTCAAAAAGCCTTGATTTTGACCTATTTTTTAGCGTCCCCCTTCCCCTGAGTGTATTCATCTTAAAAGGACGGTGTATTTATCTTAATCTGGCGGTATATTTCTTTCAATAGGGTAGTACAATCATCTTATTCAGGCGGTGTATTCATCTTAACAGAGTGTTGTACCCCTCTTGAAATGATAGTGTATTCATCTTAAAAGACAGCTGCAATTTTCTTTACTCCTCTATGTTAGTGTACACTGTTCCTAACATCATCTTTCGGCTAATGTAAAGGAGTTCACCATATTAGCCCCACATGGGTCTGCCCTAACAAGGTTTTTCTATTGACCATGGTGACGATAGTCCTTCCACTAAGAGTTCTGAGAAACTGATTCTGTTTACTTTATTTCCTCTCAGACAATTTGTTCTAAAATTATTAACACTTAAAATTTAGTGAAGTGTTTTGTTCTGGTAATAAGAATAGTTGCTGTAGATTAGTTTGGATCGATTTATGTTGAGGAAAAAACTAAATGATTAAGTCAATATATATGCTTTTGTACGGCTTATCTCAAGTAAGCGTTTCTAGGCATTTATGGAACTTTTATTTACAAGAGAAATTAGTACATATGCTTTACTCGTTCTGAGCTTAGATCTATATTATTCGGGAAATGATACGTAAGCAGATATTAGGCAGGAGAATGGATAGTGCTGCAGGCGGTGAAGACTAACGAATCCTTTGAGACGATTCACCTATTATCGATTATGAAGACGACGGTGCTGATAGAACGTATGACACTTGTCCTGATAATAAAAATATGATATTATTGCTAAGAAAAATATCGTAACGAAAAGATGAATGATAACAGATGCTCTAACCGACTTCCATTTTCAAAATTTATGCGAAGAAAACCCAATTTGTCACACATCTTGATCTTTTAACTTTAATCTATCGCGTGAAATGTATATTCTGCAGTGATATAGACATGACTAACAAGTAAAAGCCAACGGAGCTTTCTGATGTAGCTTACATATCGACAAGGAATAAACTACAAACGGTCCAAGACACATGACCTGTTCAACGAGAGGAAAGCAATTGAATAATAGACGAACATTTTTTTAAAAAGAGCATTTGATTTACTTCTAAAGATGTCTTCTGTGCTAAGTGTTCTTATTCGTTTGGTTTAATTGAGTTTCTCCTATTCTTCTCTTTCTTTCTGGCGATTATTCAATTAGATGTTCTACCAATATATTATTTCGATTAACGATGAGACAAAACAGATAAGTGTCTGTTAATTGACATCTGTGTTTTGCTTAGCTAATATTATTGATGAAAAACATCGAAAACAAACAAATACAAGGTTAACGAACAGTTCTGAATGACCATGAAATAGCAACATTTGATTAATTGCAGTATATTGTGATGAATCTTTCATGCATAGTTATTTGTATTATATGTGATTAATGACGATTTACATATGTGACTGTTCGCTATAAAAATGTAACGGTCAGATTAGACCGGTCACTTTTTTTCTGTTTGCACTAAAAATCATTTTAATATTCGGGTTTTGAGCTCATTCCATAGAGAATTTGTTGCTCTACACAACTGTGGACTTTGTTTTCCAAATAAATTTTTCTTGTGGGTGCAAAATGTAAAAGATTAACATGTACTCAATCCTTCAACTGGGATCTGTTTTCTGTAGACACCCATCGATTTATGTAAGCCTATGCTCAGCAAGTCCGATGCCAGAAGTAAAGTATTTAACATTAATAGATGAAGAATTTTGTGCTCTATGCTTCCACGACCTTTTCAAGGTCTTTGGTGCTATCACTCAGGAGAAATAGGCTTGGAAGTAACACCTAGTGGTATTTTTGGATGCATTTTAGAAAATCATGTTTGCCACTGCCAGACTTTGTCTATGAAACGTTTCTTCTCAAGCTGTCGCATGTAGAACTTAATTCTGAACAAAATAGTGTGATTGTGAGATTGAACGATGAAAACTTTTAGGTTGCTTCGAATTAAGAAAGAACAATGGCATAGGTCTGTCAGAAAAGGGATTTTTTCGGTGTTTTCACATTTTTACTTCAAACATCTTTCTTGAAAATATTTCTTCTAAAATTCTGAAACATACTTCAAAAGACGCAGAATTTTACAGAGAACTTTGCGACATATTTGAAATTTCAGCGGAACCGTTATTAAAAGTTTTTCATAATTTTTTCATTTTTTGATCGTCGCAGTTGGACGATTGAATAGATGTTCATTTTTTACATTTTGCGTGACAAAAAAAAATTGTTTAAAAAACAAAGCCGATAGTTGTGTAGAGCAATGAATTCTCTATGGAATGAGCTCAAAACCTGGTATTAAAACACTTTTAATGCCTCAAAAACAGAAAACAAAAGTAGCCGATTTAATCTAATCCATCTGTTATATAAGAAAATGTGTCCTGGAATATGCCACACACGTGAGCACTTAGCTAAATGTTCTGCACGGAGGCGCATAGGATCTGCCCTGAAATGTGTCGTATTAACAAGTGCGCGATAGAAGGACACATCAAACAGTGTCCCTGCAGCAGACATATTTATTGTGCTCTGTCGCATGACACATTCTAATGTGCCCTCTCATATGGCACATCTAGAAATTATCTTGAGTGGCTTATCTGCAAGCAGCCCATACGCATCCTTGATAGAAACTGTATGTAACTTGAATATGTGCGGAAACATTTCAGAACTATTCTAAATGCTTTGTTTCTTATTTCTCAACACAGTTAGCTTTCAAAAATTGGTTCTATTTCATTCGAGTTTAAAATCATTTTAACAAAGATTAGCGTTTCGACATTTCAAGAAATTTCGGCAAAAGTTTACATAGCCATGAAAGTAGAATTCTTTTAAAACGTTATTATACATGAAAATGATAATATTGGTACAGTAATTGAATTATCCTTCTGTATATTTTTCAAAGAATTATTTAAAGCTCATTTTAAAATCCAGAAAATTCTTTATCTTTCTAAATTGTGAGTTATTGTCTAGGACTGTAAAAGTTCGTTAGGAAAATTTAAAAAACAAACTTATTAACCTTTGTTGAAATGATTTTAGACTCGAATGAAATAGAACCAATTGTTAAAAGCTAACTGTGTTGAGAAATAAGAAACAAAACTATGTTTCTCCTATTTAGGCACAGCTCAATTGTCAACAACTTTTCTGACTTTTGTACAGATCAGAAGGTGAATGAGTGTATTGCTGTCAGTAAAGAAGATAAGATTCCAATAAGACAGTGATATGAGAATATCGACAGTTGTTACTTCAACATCATGCTTAATATTCATATTAATACTTTATGTTGATCTGTATGTTTAAGAAGAAAATACAGAATATTTCATGAAGCTGTTTTAATGTTTACATAAACAAAAAATTACGTATATGTATATGTAAGACACAACATTCACACACATTAATTTAAAGAAAAATTGTTCTTGGAAATGCATTGAGAACATATCCGACACATGAAGATTTTAACAAAAACAAATGTACAACATGAAATAATCTCTTTAAGAAAATTCCACCAAAGTACATGATCACACATGATTTACTTTTTTTTACACATTATTCGCTACTCTTATGTACACTTTCTCACTCGCCACCCGTTTATTGAATTAATGACATGGTTTTCGACTGAGAAAATCTTTTTTAGTTCAATTGAATTGACAGATATTTGAAGATGAAAAACTTGGTGACATACGCATTGACATCATTTTAACGTCAGAATTTTTGTCAACGTCCAAACAATTTGCCTTTCGCTTTCGGTTTATTTGTAGAGAAATAATGTTGAAATTTTCGATCCTATACTGGTTCGATTAAGAACAATTCGTTCCGGATATGTAAGTGGATGAAACTGGCAATAATCGTCTGCTTGTATAAATACTATTAGTTCTTTCTCCTGTCGATTTGGCACTACCGCTATAACGAAACAATTTCTTACCATCACAGCAAAATAAACGTAATACTTCATTTCTAAATCTTTGACCACATATAGCATAAACAAAAAAATTGACACAGAACGATGCAAAAAACCAATGTCGAGCAATATTAACCGCTGTTAGTAACCATGGCGGATATTGTTTTAAAAATAGAAAACAGAATAATAACAAATGATAGGGTAAATTGAATACAAGAAACACGGTTGATGCAGCTAATAACATTTTTGTTGTTTTAGCCGATGTATTTGCTCGTGCATGTGTTGAACGTATACGCATTGAGGAAGTTCGATCAGATAACTTTTGTTGAAAATTATTTTGTTGTCGATGCTGATTATGTAGTTTTTTAATATTATCTTCACTTGAATGAATATTTGATTTAAAATAATTATGATTTACGGTCAAAAATGGACGTTGTTGAATTAGATGTAAATATTCATTATTTCCGTTTGATGACATTTTTGAATGATTCTTTTTACTTAATGATTGATAAGCGGGACGATGAATCGATGTTAATTTGAACTGGCTTGCACCAACCGTATCTGATTTTTCATTTGTTGAAGATATATTTGATGAATTTGAGCTTTTAGGTGGATAGCGTGGATAAGGAAGCGTCATTTTTTTAAAAGTTAACTTTGTGTGCAGTTTATAAACAATAGCTAAATTCATAATTGTTATAGCAGAAAATGGAAATAAAAACGTGAAAAATGTATCAATAACGAGAAAGGGAAACAGTAGTGCTTTATTTTTATCTTCTTCACAATGTACCAGATATGTCTGATTATTTCTCGGTTTTGTTGTTGTTACAGGAAAACTAAGTGAATAAAATGAGCAAGCAAATACAATCAGTGCAAAGGCGAGTATACGATTTGTACGTTGTTTCAAAAATGTAGTCGCTTTTATTGGGAAAAATACGGCAATTAAACGATGAGATGTATATGCCAGAGTAAAATTTGATGATAGAAAAGATGCAATATGACTAAAGTAGATTGTTAACAGACATGTCATCGCATTCAAGACGGGTACATTTAACTCATCTAGTAAAGCAATAACAAGAATTAATATAAAGATTAAATCGGTTATTGCCAAGCATGTGAGAAAAAAACTACTACGTAATGAACGTAAACGTCGTTGACTGACAAATACAATAATAGTGGTCGCATTACCAAGTACACCAGTAATAGCAATTAAAATATAATAGGCTAATGCGAAACGATTTTGAATTGTTGGACTTGATGACGATTCACCCATCGTATTAACATTCGTGGTAAAGTTCGATGTGATCAGTGGAAAGATTAGGTAAAAATCAGATACATTCGATGAATATTCAGGACTAAAATGAGAGAGATACAAAAGGTAAGTAATTTGTTACAAAAACTAAAAACAACTTAAAGAAAAAAGCTTTTTTGAATGGAACATCAGAGAGCTATTATTGCTACTTGAAAAAATTGGATATTTTATTCTTTTCTTACAAAGAGGAACAAGTATAGCGTAACGAAAAAACTTTAATACTTTTCCGTCTACTTTTTGTCACTTGAGAAAAGTATTTTTTTCTGAGTAGATAAACTTTTGAAAATCAGAAGGATAAATTTTTTGACAAGTCTACATTTTTCACATTCGTTAGCTCATAGTTTTATGTTTCAACAAATCCATTCTCAAAGGCAATCCCTAGGCACGCCATTCTACTTGAAATTTTAAATTGCATTCTCTGACTAGACAAAAGGTTGTCAACGTGTTTCTTTGCAATGAGAGAATATCACTGTTTACTCACGTAAAAGTAAATATAATACTAATTTCTTTTCCCTCATGGCAATCACAATGTATCTGTGTATCCGTTTTTTGATAGTGCAGGTATCATCTTCCTTTCATTTCTAGATATGTTGCAGAGTTCATCAAGTTATATTATTAACATCAGGATTTTAAGTCTAAAACAGTTGAGTATGCACTAGAAATAATATTTTCTATTGGAAATGGGAATTTCTTTTCACTTGTGTTCACACACCATTTTACGACTTCTACTAGTGACTACTTGTGAAAAATATGATGCGAAAAGAGTCCGTAAGCAGTTCAAACGTTCTCACAAGTGCAATATATTTTTTACGCGTGCTTACACACAATTTTACGATATTGACGTGCGGCCACAGTTTATTTCACAATATTCATGGATGTACACGCCGTTTTATTTACTAAAATTTCTCCATGAGTGTCAATAATCAATCAATAATCAATATCAATATCATAGCTGAGCAATCATTTACAAATAAGAAATTTATTAAAACTATTTTAAGGAGTAGTATTACTAACGGATGGTTATCTGGTCTTAACTTACATTCATTTCAAAATTACATGTGAAAGATGCTATCACTATTTTTTCCCAACATTTACGGTGCATCTAGTTCATTCTAGTTCAAACCAAACAGATCTACTTCTTTTTCTCATGGTTAGTTCAACATTGTTATCGTACTTCTTTGACAAAATAAAACAGTATTCTAAACTGAAAAGCCATTGATTTTCGAAATACTATTCCATTATTGACTGAGAAATAACAAGAAATCAAAACTATTCATACGCTTTTATCAAACATTTTGTCTTTCTCTTGTTAGTCTATTTTGATGACGTCTTTAAAAAACGTATCAATGATGTATTATACACGGTAATCGGTACCGTTCATCATCAAAAAATATGTATAATTAGTTTTTTTGTATGTTTACGATTAGAAATATAATAGAATAAGCGATGCTTTTATTTTTGACTTTCAATCTTTTTCCGTTTCCTTCTATATATAACTATATATATAAATATGAATCATTTTTTCAAGTTTTTTTACAAAGACAAGAAACAAAGATATTCGAGTTACTGAAAATATGTCAGTATTAATTACGAATATTCGATTATAGTTGTGTTCTAATGATAACTGTATTTTTGCTACACACTACATAGTACACAGAAATGATGACAAAAGAATCTAAACGATTCTGTGCTATATTTAAAAGCTGTTATCAGCATTTCAATCTATTACAAAATTGCACTTAAAACAGATTAAAATAGAAACATTAGAAAGAATGGTGTTCATTTACAAAAGTTGAATGACAGTTTGATTCTCAATTTATTGGTATTATTCAATGTTTAATATTGAAAGAAATTCTACAAGATTTCAATTTTTTTTTCGTTCATTGAACAACTAAAATTTGTGCCAAAAGGCATAAAATTTTTAAAATATAAATTTAAAAGAGCGTGTAGTTATCATGCTTCGATCGCTTTTTTTGAAGAAAAAAAATACGTAAAAGATATCGATGATGAAAAATACTTTTTGTTTTTTGTACCAAAATTATTGATTAGATCATAGAAAACAATTGAATTACTTTTATTATAAAATATGATACTTCAGATTTCGAAATTGATTGGGCTACATTTTAGAATAAGGTTTAATTCTCCAGCTCATAATATGAAATTTTATTTAAATTTTAAAATTTAAACTTTTTTTAAAACTGCACTTTCCACGTTCACAAGCTAGCTGGAACATTTTTGAGGACATGGTTGGATAGAGCTCGAAAAACTAAACATACCTGGATAGTTAGTGAGTTTTAGATCTTGGATAAAAACGGTTTTCTAAAGGTTTTTCAAAAGCTCACATGCTAAAATATCCTTTTTCAGCCCGTCTAAAGCATGTGATCGAATTTTAAGATATGGTTATTGATAGAGTTTGAGGAGTTGGACAAAATCCAATGGTTTCTGAGTGTCTAAAAAAGGATATTGAGCAGGTTTTAAAGAGTTTTTGAGAAAACAGATAAAATTTATTTTCTTTGTACTATTATTGATATTTTCGATATTTTGTCTAGTTTTATCGCGTGTGACATAGAAACGACTTTATCTTCATCTTTATAGATTTTCTAGGATTTTTTCATAGGTTTTTGACGTTTCACTACAATACAGTAGCTCGCTTCGATCTGGATTTGATTCAACTTATTTAAAATAAACCATTTTAATGAACCGTAATAAACCGTCTAAACGTAAACTTCGGTACTATACCTAAATCAGACATAGTACTCCGTTTTTATACTTCCTGACCTTCTGTTTCACCTCAAACAAAGAACTTACATCGATATTACGTGACAGGGCAACAAAAGAACAAACTGATTTATCTTGGTGCTGTCACACACTTTGATAAGAAGAAAAACTGTGTATAACTAGAACTAGTACATTACAGAACGAAAAAAAACTACTGTATTGTAGTGAAACGTCAAAAACCTATGAAAAAATTCTAGAAAATCTA